GCTGGCTGGGGAATTCTGGGAGTTGAAGTCCAGACATCTTCAAGTAGCCAAGGTTGAGAAACACTGGACTAGAAGACCTCCAAGGCCACTTCCAACTCTTTTATTATTCTGGAAGTTAACCAGAGGGATGGCTTCCCTCCAGAAGTTGCGAATGCTCCAATACTGGAAGATTTTAAGAAGAGGTTGAACAACCGTTTGTCTGAAATGGTAGAGGGTTTCCTGCTTCAGCAGGAGACCTCCAAGGTCCCTCCGTCTCTGGAAGAACCTGCCATGTTGGGTTCATTCTTCGGTGCTTCTGGTTGCAAACTTGGCGGTTGGGTTGCTTCAGTCACCGAAGGAAGCCTGTGGCTGCTTCCTTGTCTTGGGCTGCGTCCCCTGGGACCCTTCTGGGTCAACTGGGGCCCAGCCCCTCCTGGCCACCCGGTTCTCTTTCGTTTCCTTCTAGCCGACCTAAAGGCCACCCAGAAAAGTTTCAGCTTCCCCAAGAAGCTCAACCTGCCCCTCTACTTCGTCTCTGCGGCCGATGGCACCAACGTTGTGAAGGTGGGGGAAGGGAGGCCTGGATTCCTGGGCGAGGGTGGGGGGGCGGGGACCAGGGAGCCACTGGCCGGGCAGGGAAGGGGTGCCCAGCGGTGGCCTCCCTGGTTGACCTCTGCCTTCTTCTGTAGCTCTTCAGCGATGCCATCAAGCTGGCTGTGGCCTACAAGGAGAACTCCGGGGACTTCATGGACGAAGTGCTGAAGGAGCTGGAGGCAAGAGAGGCGCCTTGGGGGGGCTGCTTGGGGCTGGAGGCCCAAAGGGCCCCCCTGGGAATGGGCTCTTTGGCAGGATGGGTGCAGATGGGCTTTCCGGGAGGCTCTGGGTGCTCCCAGTGCGGCTTAGCTGCAGTTAGCGGATAGTTTGTGGAGCTGACTTCAGTTTTCCTTCTTCAGTTTCCCTCCCTCTTCTTTCCTTCCCTCTTCCAGCCCTCTTTCCTCACTGCCTGCTTCCATCCTTCCTCTCTCTCTCCCTCCCTCCCTGTCTACTTTTTCCTTTGTTCCTCCTCCTTTCCTTCCACTCTCCCTCTTTCTTCATTTCCTCCCTTTTTCTTCCCTCCTCCCCCTTCTTTCTTCTCTTCCTCGGTTTTTCTTCCTCCCTCTCCTTCCTCCTTCCTGCCTGCCTCTCTTCCCTCCCTCCCATCTGCAAGCCGCCTCTTGCGCTGCTCCCTCTGCTGAAGCCTCCCTGTGGCTGCAGGTGGTCATTGCAGGCTGTTGCCCTAGGAGAGCTCCAGGTGTGGAGCACCTGTTTCCATCCTTTTTCCTCTTTCTCTGCAGAATTTTGAGCTGGAGGCGAAGGAGGAGGGGGAGCAGGAGGAGGACTCCCCCACTGAGGAGGCCAGTCAAGGGGAGCCTTCGTCCGTCCAGCTGAGCCCCGGGAACGAGTAACCGTGGCCTGCCTGCACCTGGACGGAGACCGCGGGCAGCCCTCCCTGCTCAGCGGAGGCCACCAGGGACCTCCGAGAAGGCCAGCAGGGGGAGGTCAGCTCTGCTGCCCTGGGAGGAGGAGGAGGAGGAGGCCGGAGGACCAGGCTTCCTAGCCCAGAGAAGAGGGGCTGCCGACTCTGGTAGAGACCTTGGGCTGTCCAGGCCCCCATTCCACTTCTAGAAGGACCCTGAGTCTACATTGTTGATGTTGTTGTTGCAAAGATTCCACCTGGAGAAATAAATTTTGGACGTCTGGAAACCAGCCTGGTAGCTTCGCTGGGAAAGCACAATCGCTCCGCTTGTGTGTGTCAACCTCCGGTTGTGTTAAACCCTTAAGTTTAATAAACTTATATGCCGCCCAATCCCGAAGGACTCCGGGCGGCTTACATAAAAGACAATTTAAAAAATACTTAAAAAGTTTAAAAAGTAAAAAAAAACAAAGCAGGTTAAAACACAACACACACTCAACCGTAGTGGGGCTGGACCTCATTCGAGAGGTCAACAGCCCCAGGCCTGCCGGAACAGCCAGGTCTTAACAGACTTTCAGAAGGTCGAGAGAGTGGGGAGAGTCCGGATCTCTGGGGGTGGATCGTTCCATAGGGCCGGAGCAGCTACAGAGAAGGCTCTCCCCGGAGGAGCCGCCAAATGACATTGTCTAGTTGATGGCATCCGGAGAAGGCCCACCCTGTGCGATCTTATCGGGCACTGGGAGGTATGTGGCAGGAGACGGTCCCGTAGATATCCAGGCCCTAAGCCATGTAGGGCTTTAAAGGTGATGAGAAAGGGGAGACGCTGCGGTGGCCACCGCTGGATTGGGTCTCCTGGAGCAGAACTCCTGGAGGGACACAAGCACAGCAGGCCCCGCAGTCTAAGAAAGTTGTGTGAAACAATCACAGTCCGGTATGATGTCTTTACAGTGACTGTGATCCCCTCTGGAAACGGACGTCGCCTCCTGACTAGAGCAGTGATGGCGAAAGTTTTTCTGCT